TGTGTGTGTGTGTGTGTGTGTGTGTGTGTGTGTGTGTGTTTACAGTATATACTGCATTTATGACAGGGTGCTGTTTTGAACTTTGTAACACAGACTGGAGGCTAACTTAAGGATATAAAACAACGTTGTTAGAAATGATCTATACTTAGCACAAAAAWTTTTTAAAAATGGTGTTTGGTAGATTATTTCTTTGTTGTAACAAAGCTTCTTATCTATAAATACTGTTGAAAAGTCTGTTAATTTCCTTTTTAAATGTCACATTTTAAGGGACATGAATTTGTGAGATGAGCAGCAGAGCTGAGTACTGTATGTGGGTTGCGCACATGAAAATTTTGCCAAATCTTCTGCCAAACAGCTTATTTTGCTCTTGCTATTTACATTTTGTTTTAGCTTCTGGTACCCCCAGGTGCTGCCAGTCAGGCACCAATCATAAGGTATTACCAAGAAGCATTACAACAAAGAAATAATCTACCAAACACAAATTTCCTTTTTGCTTACTTTTTGTGCAAAGTAAATATATATTACAGGGGAAATAGAGGGATGTTTCTACTCTTTCATACAGGCATCAAACAATCAAACTATCATCTTAGCCTCAGCTGGGCATTAAGAGTCTGAATACAAGTCGTGTCTGGTCTGTGGTCTGTTTTTTCCCATGGGATGACAAAAGAAGGCAGGAAGTCTCCAAGGGGCCTGGCTGCACTTTGACCAATGCGGTCTGACTACTGATATTAGAAAACAAATCTGCACTACACAGAAGGACAACGTGAACGACATAAATAAATACCAATAAACAAGCAGATAAATTCCAGCTCAAGCAACAATGGCTGAAGAAGTAAGCAGGTTTCTGTGAGATACACTGAGATGCACTCAGGTGCCCAAATTTGTTGACGGTTACTCCAGTGTCACATCCATTCTGGTGCAGCATTAATGAGAAGGAGTCGGGGCTATTAGTCACTCCTGTCCTCAAGTCAATGAAGCAAGCAGTTGTGCAGAATGACTGATGGTCAGTCACCGATCATCCTGAGTGTGTGTCTGCAAAGTTTCATGCTTAAAGACGGATGTGTTCCAAAAGTTTAAAAAGCAACAATCTGCACTTTAAGTGAAGGAACCACACCGGACTATAATTGTAAAGGGTTGGAGCAGAAGAACTGACATAATCTCGAGGCAAACAATGGAGTACTCACCGCTGTAGAAGCGAATCAAACAGCTGAGGTCTGAGTTGGCAGCTTCATGTTGCACTCGCACCGCGTCTGAATAACCCATAGATGTCAGGTAGTCGTACACCATCTGAAGCGGACGTTCGGTGGGGTCCAGCCTCCTGCAGGACCAAAGACATGCAGAGGAATTAGGTTTGTGTTACAAACACAGGCTACCAGCTAGTTGTAATGAAAGAAACAAGGATTTGTTAAGAATTACTTCATCTTTGAATGACAAATGTACAAGTTTAAATATATTCAGAGACCTGTTTTTACAGAGTGAAAGTATAGTCACATTTTTTTCCCTAAATTTTTACGACTAATTCAAAATAAACAACCTAAAGGGGTGGAAAACACTTTTCAAACACTAACATTTACACTGATAAAGCATCTCCAAATCATATGATTTTGGGGTTTTATAAACAGATGAATAATAAAGACCYTTCTGTATTTCAGGACACGAACATGAATCGTTTTCAGACATATTGATTGTTCATGCTTGAAATGCATTTTGACCCTATAATAAGGGCGATGACCAGACATCTTGATTTTAAAAATCACTTTTTCGCCAAATAAAAATCATTAAATTTGATCCAGCTCTTCAGGTGAACGCGGCATCGTGTTTGTTGCCCTGTATGTTTTGAAAGGGGATTTGTGTTGTTTGAACAGCTGAGGTCTTTAAACTTTGAAGCTTTAAGCAGGGGAGCACGATGTCTGACCCTGCTGAACACTCGCACTTAACAAAGACATGCCTCATTGATTCCTCCAGCAGCCACAGAGGTGGGTTTTTACTGACCCTTCAATGAAATGCAGAAATTACTTATGCAAACACATTCTTCTTATTGTCACAGTTTTTAAACATTCGTGAAGGTCACTCCATCTTATCAGTAGTGAGATCACAAAGTGAAAACCCTGCTTTTCTGCTGCTGGCTGCAAGAGGCTGAGCTTCACAGGTCACCTGAGTTTACATTTATACATGAAGGGTGAAATGGTTTAGAGGGCCCTTGATAGCAAGCTGCAAATTCCTTCTGAGAGAAACTATTAAAAATGGCCAGGAGGCTCCTTTTGGACATAGCCAAAGAATGACAAGCTGGGTGGAAACTCAGGGCATACCCAGAACATGTTGGAGGAATTACAAGTCCCATCTGGTCCGAAAAAGCACGTACTGGATCCCTAAGAGCCTGATGCCGGGAAAAAAACTCCCTCGCTGATTTTGCTCACCCTGTTGGAAGCAACCGGGACAAGGATACGTGGTTCCAAATGAGTGAATAAAAGCAAGAGATGATTGTTTGCGTCAACACCATTATCTTATTAAATCGATTTAAAAAAACGTGGGTCATCCAGTTGAAAATATCAAGAGTTAAAACAGTCTTCAGTGCTTACAACTCCATTCTTAATTTACAGCTCAGCTTTGTTCAGATTCAATCATTTAAAGGGGCAATATCATGTAAAATCAACTTTTTTGAGTTTTATATCATGTTATAATGTTATACTCTCATAGAAACATGCCCAAAGCCTTACTTTGACTCATTCATGCATGTTTGAGAAATCCTGCAGCGTTTTTAGGMAGCCATGCTGAGGAGCAAAACGACATGGGGACATGAAACGCCATTTGGGACCAGAAACGCCTCTGGGATGTATCTTTAAGCCGAACTTCCTCATCACGGAGCACACCTCCCCACCCCCCACACCCCGCCCATGACTCCTGCAGGCTCTCGGGTGAAAGTGAAAGTGAAACCTAACTGTCTGCAGAGCTTTCAACATTAGTTGTCACTCAGTGAAGCTCTTTTCAGATTCAAAATACCTTTGAGGAAATGTATTTTCAGATGCCAAGTAAACTGCATCATTGCCCCCGCACCGAAATGGGCGGGACAGAAGCAGAAGGTGGTTCTGAAAGAGACAGAGGCCAATTT